GGATACATATAATGTGCATGTGGAACACTCAAATTGCACATCTCCTTATCATAACATATGTGCATTTTTTTCAGCGCAATATTTATGGCTAGACTCTTAAAATTTTATTTCAAATATAGCATTTCAACATTACCAGGACTTTTCAATGAAATATTTCTATTTGTTCACTTGAGAGAGGTAAAGTACAAGGGGTCAGGAGAGTTCAATGGACAATATTTATGTTACGACTCATTCAATTTTTTTTTAAAATTTTGATGCAATAGTTACTGCCATAAAATAGAAGAATGAAACTATACACTGTCTTGCCGATGATCCTTGTTTCACAGGCAACTGAACATATTCCATTAGAAAGTTCTAGCAGAAATGCAGTGCCATATTCTTTAAAAAGAGATTTATTTATTTGAAATGAAGAGTTACAGAGTGAGAGAGACAGGGAGAAGTAGAGCTTCCATCTGCTGGTTTATTCCCTAAATGGTCATTAAGGTCAGAGGTGGGTCAGGCTAAAGCCAGGAGCTTGGAATTTCATCCAGGTCTTGTGCAAGTACTTGGGCCATCTTGTGCTGTTTTCCCAGGCACATTAGCATAGAGCTGGACTGGAAGGGGAGTATGCTAACACTGCTGATGGTTATGGCACTCCTCCATAACCTAATATTCTAATTATCATTGAATGGGGTTTCTAAGGATCTATGTAATCATGTTTGTTGTGTTCTTTTTATGGTTCATGCTTGCATTCTTTTTTTTTTAAGATTTATTTTTATTTTTTATTGGAAAGGCAGATATACAGAGAGGAGAGACAGAGAGGAAGATCTTCCGTCCGATGATTCACTCCCCAAGTGAGTGCAACGGCCAATGCTATGCCGATCCGAAGCCAGGAGCCTCTTCTGGGTCTCCCACGCGGGTGCAGGGTCCCAAAGCTTTGGGCCGTCCTCAACTGCTTTCCCTGGCCACAGGCAGGGAATTGGATTGGAAGTGGGGCTGCCAGGATTAGAACCGGCGCCCATATGGGATCCCGGGCGTGCAAGGCGAGGACCTTAACCACTTGCGCCATCGCGCCGGGCCCCGTGCTTGCATTCTTTACAGAAGGCACAAGAATGGACTCAGGACTAAAACCTTAATACCCTTTAGATTCCAGTTTCATAAAGGAGAAGGAAAAAGTACTCATGCTGACGGACTCTCGGGAATAGTGAGCACAGGAACCCTGGCATTCTGACACCCAGAGAGATGCTCTTTGCATGAGACCATGCTGTCTTTAAACAGTTATGTCCTAGGTAGGGAATCAACTCAAAGTGTCTCTGTTCTCTTCCAACTGGCACTTTTTAGAGAAAGGACTCAGGAAATGTTTTCACTTGATTCAAAATTCTAGGAAACATGACACACTCATTCTCGATAGTGTTATACCAAGAAAATCAGTGTAGCCAAAGTAGCAGTATAAAATTCTCAGCAACTCTTAATTCCACTTGCCAAGAAAACTGCTGAGATGACCTGTTACATTAAATGTACCAACTTTTCCAAGACAAAAAAAATTTTAAGGATAGAATAAGAGTTTCTGGGACAATGGGAATAAGGTAGTCTGATGATAATTACTCTGAAATTATTTGGTTTAGATCATGAAGTAACCTGAAGTCATTGTGGTAGCCCTAAAAACTCATAACTCTAAATCAACACAGTAACTGTCATCATTATCTGCTACATTAAAGGACACTACTCTTTGTTTTGTTTTTAAAGGTTTTATTTGTTTATTTATTTGAAAGGCAAAGTTACAGATAGAAAAAAAAGAGGAGAGAGACAGAGAAAAGGGCCTTCTATCCACTGGTTCACTCCCCAAACGGCCAGGATTGAGCCAGGCCAAAGCCACGATCCAGGAGCTTCTTTCAGGTCTCCCACATTGCTGCAGGGGCCCTAGCATGTGGGCCACTCTGAGCTGTTTTCCTAGGTGTATTAACAGAGAGTCAGATCAGAACCGGAGCAGCCAGGACCTGAACCAATGTTCATATGGTACTAGTGCTATATGCAGTGGCTTAACTTGCTGTGAAACAGCACAGGTTGCAAGAGACACTACTTAACTGAGTTTGTTGCTTTTTCAAGAAAAAAAAAAAATCAATGTCACATGTGCCATTAACTCATTAAGGACCAGAAGGAGAAGCAAACAGTAGCACAGCCAGGAATAGAGCTTGGAAAGAGCACAGCTGGACAGAAAATCAGACAGATGTCACCACAGCACACAAGTGACTTCTCTGGTTCATCACTTGCTGCTTCCTTTCCCACATCTAAGCTTAGGTAACAATTCCACCATGTGAAGAGTCAGAATAAAGAAAGTCTTATAGTCAAAAGTGAGGAGTGTTGAAGGACCTCTTGTTCCACACACTTAATCTAGGAATGAGTTAGAACTGATTATTATATCTGTGGAAGACAAAAATTAAAACCAAAATCATAACTCGGCTTTTAACTTCTGACAAGTCACATAGTCCACCAAGTTCAACTTAATGCATGGGGTATAATTTTATCAAGATTTAAAAAAAAAAAAAAAGGAATACTACACTGTGATGTTCTGATGTAGTAGATTAAGCTGCCACTTGTGACACTGGCATTCCATATGGGTACTGGTTCAAGTCCCAGCTGCTCCACTTCCAATCCAATTCCCTGCTAATGAGCCTGGGAAAGCAGTGGAAGATAGCCCAAGTGATTTGGCCCTTGTACCCATATGACAGATCCAGATAGAGTTCCAGGCTACTGGCTCTGGTCTGGCCCAGCTTTGACTATTGCAGCCATGCGATGAGTAAGCCAGCAGACAGAAGATTAATCTTTCTCTCCCTTTTTCTCTATATTATTCTCCCTTTCAAATACATCAATGTTGTTTAAAAAATAAGAATACTAAAATAACTAAAGACACTTAACAACACTAAAAAAATAGCAAAATTGTACTGAGTACTTGAAAATTAGTTCTTCGCTTTTTTTTTTTTTGGCAGGATCTCTTTATACATTAAAAATTGAAGCCTTGGGGGCAGGCATCTGACTTAGCAGTCAAGATGTCAACAGGGGCACCTTCAGTCCATGTTAGAGGGCCTGGTTTGAGTCTTGGCTGCTTCACTTCTAATCCAGTTTCCTGCTAATGCACACCCTGGGAGTTAGCAGTGATGGCTCAATTACTTGGGTCTCTGCCACCTGTATGGGACAGCTGGATAGAGATCCAGGCTCCTGCCTTTGGCCTGGCCCAGTCCTCCTGTTGCAGGCATTTGGAAAGTACGACAGCAGATAGAAGCTTTCTCCATCTGTCTCTGCCTCTCCCCTCTGCCTTTCCAAATAAAAAATAAAAACTAAACGGCAACCTTTTAAAAAGTTGTCATTTGATAATTATTGTTAGAACAAGCCCCAGGTTAACATAAATAATTAAAAAGTCACATTTTTCAAAACAAAGAATTAGTGAAAAGCATGGCCTTATTTTACAGTTTTACAAACGTAAAATGTCTGACTTAAGACAACTGAGTTCTCATCTACTTGTGCATTCACCTGTTGTAACTGGTTATAATACATGGAAAAATTTCAAACCCACAAAGAGAAGAGGGTTGGAAAAAGCTGGAGAGCTTCAGCAGTCCTTTCAGATGATTGTGAATAAAATTATCTTACACTTGGACCTGGTGTAGTAGCCTAGTGCCTAAATCTTCACCTTGCACGTGCCAGGATCCCATATGGGCACTGGTTTGTGTCCCAGTTGCTCCACTTCCTTTCTAGCTCCCTGTTTGTGGCTTGGGAAAGCAGTAGAGAATGGCCCAAAGCTTGAGACCTTATATAGGAGATCCTGAGGAAGTTCCTGGCTCCTAGCTTCAGATCAGCTCAGCTTTGGCTGTTGCAGCCATTTGGAGAGTGAACCAGCAGACGGAAGATCTTTCTCTCTGTTTCTCCTTCTCTCTTTTTTTCCAGTAAATAAATAAATAAATAAATATTTTAAAAGAATCAAACCTGGACAAATGGCAGCTTTCTAAGGCTAGTTGCAATTTGGAATTTGAAAGTGCACCAGTCGACTTTTCATGTTGTATTACATTCAAATCCACTCGTCTGGTGTGTACTTAGAATAGAATCTCATTCTGCATGGTCAACATTCTGTGTCAACATTCACTGGCAAGATACTGGTTCAATGAGTTATCTGAGATCTTCCAAATGTTAATAATTTCATAGCACAGTATTTTCAAATCACATTCATTAATCCCAACTCGCCTAGCAAAGTCTTTTGAGCTGTGAGAGGCTGTCAAGCTCACAGTGACAAATCCATATTTCCCAAAATTTTTATTTTCACTTGAAAACTCAATGGTGACCAGCATCGTTGGTTGTTTTCTCTGAAGTGACAGGTTCCATTCATTCACCCTCACCTGCCAAATACTGAATAATCAGAGTTTTTCCTTTCAAGCAAAAAACATTTCACGGAAACAGCACAGCTAGGTCAGTCCCCAACCAAAGCACATGCCCGAGAGCTTCTTCCAGAGACAACACGGGCAAGTACACCTGCACTTGGCCAGCTTCCCTTTCTGTCACAGGAGAGCAAAGTAATGGGAAACTCAATACTGTGTTTTAATAAGATTGACTGCTTTTATCGTTTTATCAAGGACATTCTTAAATGAAACTAGTCCTCCCCCTGCTGTCCCTCCCCGCTTACATACACTGTGGGTGAGGGGCAATGAAAAACACCATGACTACTGGAAAGTTGGGTATCATTATCCTGACTCTTGTTAAGAAAACTGCAGCTTAAACAACAACAACTGCAGTAACTTTTGTGCCACCCACGCAAATGCCAACATAGTCAAAAGGCAGATCAGGTTATAACACTGCTATTAAAATAATTGGCTCGTGGGTCCCTGGGAGGATTCGAGACCCCAAAGGAACTGAGGACTTCAGTTTGAATATGACTGCTTTGAAACAGCTTCATTTCAAGCAAAGCGTCACTGTTCCTACGTAACACAAATAGCAATAAAATTTGAGCAAAAATACAATTCAAACAACCCTCTTACCTTTGCTAAGACTGAAAACAAATGGTTCATTTCTATCATGACTGGAATCAAATTTCTTTCCATTTGACAATTTCCCTTTGTAATGGACATAAACTCTGTCTCCGATCATCGGCATTTCCTCACTATTGCCAGCTCTTTTGACAATCTAGAAAAGACAAACATCAACATGGAGTGGAACTTTTTACTCACAGTCAGGGAATGAAGTCAAATAGTCCATTCCAAGTTATCCAGGCAGATTTGCTAATACAGTACCGGTGCTTTTGAAGACTTCCTTCATAGTACTTTCAATAACCCTCACTGTCACAAAACTACCTTACTGATCTGTTTGTGTTTAATTTTATTGCTAGTAATACTAACTGTTACCTCAAAAGAATGAACCCATAAATCTGCAATATTGATTTAATGCCTCATATTTTGACACTAAAATCCCTCAAAACACAGATTTGTAAGATAGTCTACAAGTTAGAAAGGATCAGTAGCTTTTTTTTTAAGATTTATTTTGCTTTTATTGCAAAGTCAGATATATACAGAGAAGAGGAGAGACAGAGAGGAAAATCTTCCATCCATTGATTCACTCCCCATGCGGCCGCAATGGCTGGAGCTGTGCAAATCTGAAGCCAGAAGCCAGGAGCTTCCTTCGGGTCTCCCACATGGGTGCAGTGTACCAAAGCTTTGGGCTGTTCATGACTGCTTTCCCAGGCCACAAGCAAGGAGCTGGATAGGAAGTGGAGCTGCTGGAATTAGAACCGACACCCATATGAGATTCAAGCGCGTGAAACGAAAGGACTTTAGTAGCCGCTAGGTTGCCATGCCAGGCCCATCAGTAGATTAAAAAAAAAAAAAATCAAAGAAAAGTCTATAGCAGTTTCAAAGGTATGATTTTATGTACTGTACTCCTTTGCTAATAACATATAGTTTTTGACTAGTACTGTTTCATTTATTCCAGACAATCAAGTACCCTGGTATAAAGGTTCTACTTTCTATTATTTAAAAAACATTGAGGGCCCAGCGCCATGGCCTAACAGCTAAAGTCCTTGCCTTGAACTCACTAGGATCCCATATGGACTCTGGCTCTAATCCCAGCAGCTCCACTTCCCATCCAGCTCCCTGCTTGTGGCCTGGGAAAGCAGTCGTGAACAGCCCAAAGCTTTGGGGACCCTGCACTCATGTGGTAGATCTGGAGGAGCTCCTGGCTCCTGGCTTCAGACTCCTGCAGCACCAGCCGTTGTGGTCACTTAGGGAGTGAATCATTGGATGGAAGATCTTCCTCTCTGTCTCTCCTCCTCTCTCTATATATCTGACTTTGCAATAAAAATAAAATAAATCTTAAAAAAATTTAGTCTGTAAAATACGTTAGTATCACTATGCAATTTGATTCAATAATGAATATCTTGTTCTGTAGTAAAGAAAATGCCAAAAAAAAAACCCCTCCAAACTGAAAAGTATTTAACTTTCATAAAATCTAGTGTATTTATTTTGTTCTTGGCAGAGCAAACCACTAATGCAGTTGGTCAGTTCCTGGAAAAAGAAATCAAATCCAGGCGCGTGGTGGTGTAATTTATTCTGTCAATCATCCATGCCAAACTAATTGTTTTTAGTAGGTAACCCAGGATGGTAGCTAACATTCAATGAACATCTTTTAGGAGAAAAAGTTGAAATTTTTTATTTAAACTATTTGAATATAACTTTTTTTTTGTAATTAAAAGGCATAATGTGTGTGTGGGACAGAGAAATATTTCATCTGCTGGTTCATTCACCAAATGGTCATAAAAGCCAGGGCTGAACCAGGTGAAAGCCATGAACCAGGAACTCCATTTGGGCCTCCCACATGGGAGGCAAGGACTCATCAGCAGCCTTCGAGGGTGTACCTTAGCAGCAAGCTGGACCAGAAGTGACGGTAAGACTTAATCCCAGGCACTCCGACATGGAGTGTGGGCATCCCAAGCAGCAGCTTAAGGTGCTATGCCACAATGCCTGCCCAGAATCTAGTTTTTGAGATGTGCCTCCACCCTGCAAATGCAACCACAAACTTAGGTTTCACAACTTTCTTAGCTCAGAACCCACATGTTCTTTAAAGGAAAAGAAATGTTACTGCCCTTCTTAGATATCCAAATTTAAAAAGTTTCAAAACATCAGTTTAAAGGAAATCACATGATGGGGCAGACGTTTAGCATAGTTCTGGTCTCCCCTTCTCCCTGCTGTGGCAGGCATTTGGGGAGTGAGTCAAGAGATGAGAGTTCAGATATGTAAATACATTTAAAAATAGTTTTAAAAAGCACACCTATATATTCTAAAACGTAAACCCAGATTTTTTCTGCTTTATATAGGCACTGGTTTTCCAAACTTGCCTTGCTCTTTTTTTTCTTTTTAGTATATGAGGATACTTTTTAAAAAAGTGTTTATGCAAAATGGAATTAAGAGATGTTTGGTGCAAAATGGTTTTGAAAATTATGTATTTAAAGGGCCTTAAAAACAATCACAGAAATGTGTATTACAAAAAAATCCATTCATGAATTTAAAAATATTTTGCACCCAAACAAACCTTACCTGTGGATTCATTTTCCACAAACTCTTTGAAGTACTCTCATATAATAGTTAAAAATTACCCTAGGAAGGCACTATGCTTAATTTCACAAGCAAATTGACCAAATTATCCCAGGACTCAGGTACTAGATTTATATAATCTTAACCAAAAGCCCCACAGTGAAGGATAAATTATATGATTTAAAAGGTTTCTGATTGCCAGTATTTCTGTAAATATGTAAGTCTTATCAGATTTACTCCCTGAAGTAAAGTAAGGCATTACTGATTAGTTTGATTAGTCTCTCCCGTGTGAAACTCACACTGAAATGCACTGTTTTGTGGCAGTGTTGGAAGGAGGGTTGTAAGAGGTGATGAGTTCATTGAGAAGGATTAATATTACTGCTCTGCCTTTGTTGAGGGTCTGGGTGAGCTGTGGCTAGGGTGGCTTGTAACAAAGCTGATACATTTCTCATCTGTTGTCTTCCTCACACTCCTGCTTGGTCTTCTGCCTTCCCAAGTGGAAGCTGCACAAGGCCCTCAGCAGAAGCTGAAGAGAGGTGAGAGCCTTGCTCTTGGTCTCCCCAACCTCTGGAACTGGGAGCCAAGAGGAACCTCCGTTATGCGTAAGTCATCAAGTCTCAGATGTTGTATTGCAACAACATGGAACTGACCGAAACATGGGTCTGAAATAAGCTGGAGACCATGCTGCTGTGTGTGGATGGCAAAAAGATAGAAAAGCTTAATCACAAGTAGGGAGAGGTGGGGGACAGCTTGCAGGATCTCCACGGTCTCCAGGAGCATGCTGCCGTGTGGGAAGAGTAACCTTAGCTTCAAGGCTGACAAGCCCACGGAAGGAGGTATCATGCGGTAGAAGTACAAACCTCTCATTCCATAGCTGCAATTTTTCCAAAGCTGGCTTGGCACACAGCAAGTTCATAGGAGCACATGTGTCCTCAGGAAAGGGCAGGGCACAGAAAGAAGGCTTTATGCAAGCTACATGATGCCAAATGGACTCAAAAATTCTCATCTGTTGCTGCTGATGTGGGAGGTATTGAAACTCTAGATAAGTAGTATTACAATATATGAGATGAACTTTTCAGGAAAAAAACAAATTTAACTGTACAAAACTTGTATGCATAATGGAACTGAAGAGACAGCTACTTAAAGTGACCAAAGCTATTTAACTTCTCTCAGCTTAAGTTTAGTTACTTATATGCGTATGATCAAGAGATACAGGTTGGGCCTGGCGCAATGGCGTAGTGGTTAAGGTCCTCGCCTTGCATGCCCAGGATCCCATATGGGCGCCGGTTCTAATCCCGGCAGCCCCGCTTCCCTTCCAGCTCCCTGCCTGTGGCCGGGGAAAGCAGTTGAGGACGGCCCAAAGCTTTGGGACCCTGCACCCGCGTGGGAGACCCAGAAGAGGCTCCTGGCTTCGGATCGGCATAGCATTGGCCGTTGCGCTCACTTGGGGAGTGAATCATCGGACGGAAGATCTTCCTCTCTGTCTCTCCTCTCTGTATATCTGCCTTTCCAATAAAAACAAAAAATAAATCTTTTAAAAAAAAAGATACATGTTGATTGGCTCTGTGTTGTGATGTATATTTTTAAAATGAAAAATCACTAACTATAGAGTAAAAAAAAAGATATAGTACTTTATAAGTAGGAAAGCTAATTTGAAAGTAACACACACTTTGATGAAATCCCAAAAGATACAAGCACTGCCTGCATGACCACTATTTGTATATAAAAAATAAATTTTTGAACTTGAAAAGCAGGCTAACTTTCTTTTTTTTTTTTTTTTTTAACAATCTTTACATGGTTAATTTGTGCATAAAGGGTCAAGGGCTACAGGAAAGTGGGTAAGACTATTATTTCCATATGGTTTCCTTATATATCTGTGTAGGGGGGATATTGAGGGGAGAAGCCCGCTGATTTCCCACCCACCCAAGTCCGCATGTGGGGGCATGCTCCGAGATATTGTTTGAAGTGGTTTCAATAGGTCACCAGTTTGAAATGCTGCCAATCTTTTGCCTCTTCCAAACAGTATGAGGTTGTTGAAAAATCCTTAATTGACATTGTCCATCCATAGCGTCTCTATTTGCCGGTATTTGTTGCCTGAGGTGGTGATTAACTTGTTCCATCTTCTGTCCCTCATGGTTGTGTTGAGTCTGCATTCAATTGGGCAGATCACCCAAGAAACTTTTGAAGGTGTTCCCAGGCCGATACTCATATGCATCAGCAAGTCACCGGCCCCAGCACGTCATCACCCGGTAGCTGTTAGGTTGCAAGTGCTAGTAGGTTAGCTTTGTTTTCAGCCCCCCCTTCTACTGGAACAATGGCGTCTGTTGCAGTCCAGCTGGTTCTGTACAGCACATACTGGTCATCACCTAAAACAGTGGGAGCTGCATCCTGATGAGAGCAGCCCACAATAACCCCCACCAGGCCAACCCCTACCTGGTTTGCCAATATGTGTGGGCAGACAGTCAATCTGACCCACATCCCCTGGTTCTCGTACATGGCAAATGGCTTGAAGCTTGGATCCATTACCCCGCTCAACAGTCCATCTTCAGGGTGTGTTGGTGCCTCTCCTGTTTCTAGCTACCATGCCCCCTGTCTAGTTCTCGTGCCTTCGTGGCAGTGGTAAACCCAAGAAAAGTGGGGGAACCCACTATTTCCTCCCAAGTCTCTCCACTCCCGGATTGTGCACTTCCAGGTGGATCAGCAGTTAAATTGACAGGATTAGCCCCCAAGTGCAGTTTCTGCCAGCTGATGCTAGTGCTATGCCCAAACAGCCCTCTCCATTCAATTGTAGGTTGCACCCAAGGAACAATCAAACCATCCTGGCTTTTCCCTGAGTCTAGTTCCACATGGGCGCCTGGTGTTGTAGCCCTGCTTAGTTCTGGTCTGCCCCCATCCCAGTTCATGCTCCTCCAGTGGGGTAGGCTGTCCAAGCAGGGGAACCTCCCTTTATTCCCCGCTCGCTCTGTCCCCTCCCCCTCCTGTTTCCCGTGTATCTGTGCTGGATGGGCACTGCAGTCACAGTCGGCACCAGTCACCCTCCTCTGGCATTTCTGTAGGTGGACTGGTTTTTTTCGCAACCAAACTGGTTCGACCATTACTCTATTCTGGTGCTCGGATTTGCTTCTTACCAGTGATGATGGTTAATGATTTGCTGAACTGCCCCAATCCTTGCCTAATGTTTGCCAGTGGAAATTCTTGTGGCCTCTCTGGGCTGTTTCCATTCATGCTTCTTGCGTTACCAGTGGGGTCAGTGTCCTGCAGAGGAGTTGCCAGGTCCTCCATCAGAACCTCTCCCAGTGCGGATTTTGCGCATGCCAGTGGGTCATGAGCCAGCCCTAGCCCAGTTCCTGGACTAGCTTTTGACCAATCTGGTTCTTGTTGTTGGAAAGTTCAGCCCAGCCATGGTCGACCAGTCCATTCCCCACATACGCTCACACATGTTCATTAGGGGTTTGCGACTAGCCTAATCCGCCCCACTTCTATCCTGGTCCTCAGGAGCACCTGACAGTACTGGGAGGTCTGGTCAGCCTGGAGCGTCCGTCAAGTCCACACTTGTGCTAGGGGGATTTCACTGTTACCGGAGCGACTCAGCCCCCATTCAGCCCACGTGAGCTCCTTGGCGGTAGCTTAATCCAGTTAGTGTGTCTAATGGACAAGACAATGCCAAAGCTTTAGCATGAACTGGTATTTGTGGTCAGCATTGCTAAGTTGGTACCCTTCTTTAAAGGAAGAGACACTAGTATTGGGAAATTTGGATGTATTCAACTTCCAACTGACAGAAACCACATCGGGTTCAACGTGGAGTGACAAAGCTGAATTCAAAACCACCAAAATCCCAGGGCTCCCTGACGGGCGGCACGGGAGGCAAAGCCTGGCACCAAGTGGCGCTGGCCGCCAAGCCCGGTCCACCATGTGCCCCCTGATGGCGGGCATATAGGACTCGACATGGACGCCTGTCATGGCGACCCACCCGCTTGCCGAGAGGCATTGGGAGGTGCAAGCTCCAGGCGCAAAGGTCGCGCCCAGCCAATACCGTCCGCGCCAATTGAGAGCGTAGGGTGGGCCTTGCTAGCCCGGTCCGAGACCTCCCCCCCTCGGTCGGTGCACTCACCCAAGGAAGGAAGCAGCCTGGAAATCGGAGGGCAGGCCCAAGCCCGGTTCACCATGTGCCCATGATGGCGGGCATATAGGATCCGGACATGAGACGCCCTGTCCCGGGACCCACCCGCTGCCGAGAGGCAATCAGGCTAACTTTCTTTTAAAAGATTCTCTAAATTTGTAGTTAACTACCGCTAATATACTAAAATGATGTATTAAAATACTCATTTGTATCCTCTGAGAATAGAGACACATATCTTTGGGAGTCAGATATATAATATTGGACAAATTAATTTACCCAGCTTAGCCTCAATTTTACCAATCACAGTCTGGGATTAAAAATTAAAACAAACAATTGCAACCACCAGCTGATTGGGGCGATGAACTTGCAAGTACACACAAGAATCTGGTCTGGGATCACCTCAGACAAAGTTTCTTTGGGGATCCCCCAATCAAACTGCTGGACTCAGAACCCTAACCAAGAAAAGACAGAGGACAGAACAAGTCAGTCAACTAACCCAGCCATATGTTGGCAGTGAAAAACTGGGCAAACGGAGACTCTTAGATGGACTATATCAATTAGTGGATTCTTCGGTGACCTCATTGTGCTTGGAATGGAGAAACTGGCAGCAACGCATAATTGTTGAACTATGAAAACCATTTGAGCAAGACCCTCAGAGCATGCCCCACATCAGGGACCTGGGGTGGGTGGGAGACTGGGTGAGGCTTCTTCTCCCTTTATCTCCCCCTTTACCTCAGATACATGACAAAAACAATGTGGAAATAATAGTCTTACCCACTTTCCTGTAGCCCTTGAACCTTTCTGCCCTAATTAACTATGTAAAGTTGTCAAAAATAAAGGGAGAAAAAATTAAAACAGAGTTGCTGCCATGGCATAGTAGACCAAGCCTCCACTTGTGACACTGACATCTGATTAGGTACTGGTTTGGTTTGCGTCCCAGTTGCTCTACTTTCAATTCAGCTCTCTTTACAGCCTACAGCGGAGGATGGCTCAAGCCCTTGGGCCCCTGCACCCACATGTGAGACCCAGAAGAAGCTCCTGGTTCCTGTCTCTCCTTCTCATTCTGTAACTCTGCCTTTCAAGCAAAAATAAATCTTTAAAAATACACATTATCTCAAAAAAATTTTTTTAAAAGGAGGAAGAGAGGTTGGGAGAAAGATAAGAAGGAGGGCCCGGCAGCATGGCCTAGCGGCTAGAGTTCTCGCCTTGAATGCGCCAGGATTCCATATGGGCGCCACCAATTCTGGTCCCGGCAGCCCCACTTCCCATCCAGCTCCCTACTTGTGGCCTGGGAAAGCAGTAGAGGACGGCCCAAAGCCCTGGGTCTCTGCACCCGTGTGGGAGACCTGGAGGAGATTCCTGGCTCCTGGCTTTGGATCGGCTTAGCATCAGCCATTGTGCCTCACTTACAGGGTGAATCATTGGACGGAGGATCTTCCTCTCTGTCTCTCCTCCTCTCTGTATATCTGACTTTCCAATAAAAATAAAATAAATCTTAAAAAAAAAAAAGAAAGGTAAGGAGAAAGGGAATATCATTATATTCCTAGAATTGTGTCTATTATCTGACCAATTCCCCATCTCCACAGAATAGTTTGTACACACAATCTTTCAGGGAACAGGATTCCCTGCATGCCACTCATCCTTGCAGACTCACCTTTAACACTCCTCTGTCTTGTTTGGGGGTGATATCCTCACCCTGCTCAGCAACCGTGGTTGCTGGATTTTCCCCATTGTTCTTCACACCTTCATCAGTAGTCATTGTCTTTTATAATTTGAAAACCTGCCAGGAAGAAACATATTTCAATTAGGAAAAACAGAATTTTCTTATTCATCTTTTCCATCCCCTGGAATCTGTATCACTCCACCTAAGATTTACTGAGAGGTAATAAGGTTAGATACTGAAAATGAAAACAAAAGCAGTGCTGTGACCATGCATACTTCATCCAGTTCTTCAATTTCCACCTAATTCTGGCACCAAATTAGGAAGTGCTGCAAATGAGACTTGGTAGTGATTTTACTCCTTAACATGATTACACAGTGAGAAACAGTTCTCTTAAAACTTTGAAAATGTCCTTTTCTTGGAGCCCATTTTTAACAGAGAATTAAGAATTCATTAGGTGATTTATACACACGAACCAGGTCTGGGATCACCTCAGATGACATTTCTTTGGGAATCCCTCCAACTGAAGTGCTGATTTCAGAACCCTAATCGTGAAGAGAACTGCAGGTTCCATGGTCTGATCATGGAATGCATGTGTCAAAGCTGAGCCTCCTCAGAGTATCAGACAGAGCAGTGGACAGAATATCCAAGTGCACATGGAGGAAATGGCGGTCCTTTGGAGCCTGCAGAGGACGCCTGGTACCACACAGAGGATGGAGGACAGAACAAATCGATCATCTACTCCAGCCATGTATTGGCAGTGAAGATCTGGGCAAACGGAGACTCTAAGGTGAACTATGTCAGCCAGTGGATTCTGGAGACATTTCATCATGCTTGGAATGGTGAGATTGGCAGCAGTTCAGAACTGCTGAACTATCAAAACCACTTGAGCAGTGCCCTTGGAGCATGCCCCACATTGGGGACCTGGGATGGGTGAGAGGCTGGGTGGGGCTTCTCCCTTTTACTGTGTCCCCTTACCCCAGATACAGGAAAAAAAAAAAAAAACCAATAATAATGATGTGGAAACAATGGTCTTTCACACTTTCCCATAGCCCTTGACCCTGTGTGCCCTAATTAACTATGTAAAGATTGTCAAAATAAAATAATTAAAAAAAAAAAAAAGAATTCATTAGGTGATTTGATAGAAGTGACATGGGCTAGAGTCATGACGCAGCAGGTAGAGCCCTTGCCCGCGACATTGGGATCCCATATGGGTAAACTTGTGATCTGTCGGTTCCACTTCCTATCCAGCTCCCTGCTAATGGTCTGGGTAAAGCAGTAGAAGACAGCTCCAGAGTTTGGGACCCTGCAATCCATGTGCCAGATGAAGCTTCTGGCTTAGGCCTGACCCAGTGTTGGTTATTGTGGTCATTTAAAGAATGAACCAGCACATGCAAGATTCTCTGTCTCTTCCTCTCCCTACATAACTCTTTCAAATAAAAATAAGTAATTTTTTAAAACAAGTGACGATATATCACAGTGGAAAACAAAACAGGCTTTAGAAAATCTGACAGAACCAAGCTGAAATCCTAGTTCCTTCTGTTGAGGTTTGCAACTGACTTACATTCCCTGAGCTTTAGTCTCTCATCTGTGAAACACAGATGGGATTACAGCAGTGCCTTACTGAGATCATCACTCACATCATAAAAATCTAAGCGCTTATCATCACTATCGGGACACACTCTCCATCTACTCAAAACACCTACAGAGTGAGTTCTTCACTATTGCATTCAAGGCCCCTCGAAATCTGAATTTACTCTATCTTTTGGGTCTTGATTCTCTTGCTTTCTTTCACACAGCTCATGCTCCAGCTACACTAGATCAGTTCTTTTATAACAAGCCCTGTGCTTCTCTATATTCATATTTTTGGTCACTCTTTTTTCTTCCCCAAACATTCTTTTTCTTTTTAAAGATTCATTTATTTTTACTTATTTGAAAGGCAGATTTATGAAGAGAGGAGGAAAGAGAGAGAGAGAATGCTTCTATCCTTTGGTTCATTCCCCAAATGATCACAACAGCCAAGGCTGGGCTAGGCTGAAGCCAGTAGCCTGGAACTTCTTCCACGTCTTCTACATGGGTGGGTGTAGGTGCCCAAACACTTCAGGTTCTCTTCCACTGCTTTCCCAGGCACATTAGCAGGAAGCTGGATGGAAAATTGAGTGGTTGGGTCTTGAATTAGCACCCATATGGGCTGCTGGCCCCCATCTGAGAGACCAGCCTGGAGTTTCTGGCTCCTGGCTCTGGCTTGAATCAGGTGTTGGCCGTTTGGGGAGTGACTGAGAGGATGAAAGATGCTTCTTTCTCTTGGTCTGCCTTTCTAATTAATTATTATTATTTTTAAGATGTGTATTAGTTCAGTTTAAAAGTTCTTGAGAGCAAGGGCCATTCTTTGTCCATATTTAGATTCCCCAGAAGACCTCACTCAACCTTTTAAAACACCAAGACAAAAAGAACAAGGAATTTGGAACTGGGGACTCTTCAATTCCTCACAAGCTATTTGAAAACTGGGTGTTTTAACTTCTTTAAGCCTTTTCCTGTGTAAGCAGAATAAAAATATCTACTTTCACAGAGTGACCTTCTAGGTTAAGTGGTATCATACATATTTTAAAGGAAACTAAAAGAGTTCTTAAAAAAGTTCATAGATTATGAAATTAAAAGGTAAGTTTATTTTAGGGCATAAATTTTTGAAATCCACATATAACATTTTAAAAAACATTTCTTTCATGAACTTACTGAAAATTTTTATATTCAAATGTTAACTTTCATTGTTATTTCCAGTTGTTTTACACTTTTTCATTCCAGGTCAGTCAATGCTACCATTAGGTTAATCAACAGACTAAACAAAATACACCTGGCCACTGCTGTGCTTAACCCCACAATGCTCCCTGACTGAACAGGGAAAACCAAGTTAACTGCTTCTAAAGACATTTTGTGTTAGGCTAATAATGGACTAAAGACTTCCCTCTTGTCCACAAAGTCAGACAGAGCCATTCTGCACTGGGGAAAGTGTCTTACTGCTATAACTAATAATTAGACAACTAAAACATACAGTGTCATGTTTTGATTTGTTTCCAAGTGACCTAAGTTTATCTCACTGTCAACAGAGACACAAAGCAAACTGCTGTGCCCAAGTGTCTTCAAAGAGAACACCAAAAACCAGGGGCTAAACCCCTTTGCTTTATTTTCTAGTACAGTTTATACCAGATACAAAAGATCCAAATGTTTGGCTCAGGATAAGTGAACGGCTAGAACAAATTGTTCTCCAACAAATAACAAAAAATTAAGTGCCTTGCTGTCCATGATGCTGAGCTAGATGATCAGGAGTCTAAGATGAACATGATTACTTTCCAGCTTCTAAAAACCCACTTATAACACACACATCTGTTGAGGTGTAGACAACACCTCAACAACATAGGGAAGAGATTCTGAAATACTCCAGGGGTCACGAACTGTATCCCTGGGAAGTTACCTAGGGCATCACAGGTACACAGACACCCATCAACAGACCTCTGGGAAACCTTAGTTTAAAGCATCAAATAAATTAAAACCAACAGGTCAATGGTTATTGGAAAAGGACAACCACACAACCACCCCATAGGTTATATAGTAGTTCTACCTTTCCCAAAAGGTTACTTTCTAAAACCCCAGTGGATAACTGAAACCACAGAAAATACCAGACCCTATACATGCTATACTTTTTCCTACACATGCCTATCACAAGTATATATAACAGACTCAGTGAGAGATTAACAATACAAACAATAAAATAGAACATTTATTATAAAATATTATTGTAAATTATGTGACCCCTCAACTTTTTTTAATAATTAAAATGATTTATCTATTTATTTCTTTGAAGGGTAGTGTGCACTAAAGACAATGAGCGAGAGAGAGGAAGAGAAACAGAGAGAGATCTTCCATCTGCTGGTTGCATTCGCCACGGGCCATAACAGCCAGGTCTGGGTCAGGCTGAAGGCAGGAATCAGGAGCCGCATCCTGGTCTCACACATGAGTGACAACAAGTGCTTGAGCCAGTGCCTGCTGCCTCCCAGGAATAGGAGCAAGAAGCTTGATCAGAAGTGGAACAGAAGGGACTCAAACTGGAATTCCAATAGAGGATGTCCGCATCACAAATGACTATTGAACCCACTGCAGCACAATGTCAACCTCTCTCAAAACTTTTTTATTGTTCTGGGGCCAGGACTGTGGGACATTGGGTTAAAGTGCCACTTTAGATGTGGGCATTCCCTACTGGAGTGCCATTGGAGTCCCAGCTGTTTCAGTTCCCATCCAACTTGGTGCTAATGTGCCTGAGAAGACAACAAAACACAGTCCAATTATTTGGGCCCCTGCCACTGTGTTGAAGACCCAGACAGAGTTCGTGGCTCCTGGCTTCAGCCTGGCTCAGCCCTGGGGCAGAAAACTGTCCTTGTTTTCCTCTCTCTCCCTCACTCTCTCTGTTGCTCTGCCTTTCAAATAAATAAACCAGTCCTTAAAATGTAGTATTGTCGGGCCCGGCGCGGTGGCGCAAGTGGTTAAAGGTCCTCGCCTTGCACGCCCAGGATCCCATATGGGCACCGGTTCTAATCCCAGCAGCCCCGCTTCCCTTCCAGCTCCCTGCCTGTGGCCTGGGAAAGCAGTCGAGGACAGCCCAAAGCTTTGGGAACCTGCACCCGCGTGGGAGACCCGGAAGAGGCTCCTGGCTTCGGATCGGCATAGTATCGGCCCGTTGCGCTCACTTGGGGAGTGAATCATCGGAAGGAAGATCTTCCTCTCTGTCTCTCCTCTCTGTATATCCGCCTTTCCAATAAAAAAATAATAAAAATAAATCTTTAAAAAAAATGTAGTATTGTATTTTCAACTTTTCACTTAGAGGAAGCACATCATGGTCCATCTGTGGCATATCCAATGGCTAGCATAATTGTATTGCACTTTAGGGCCATGCTTGGGGCAAGCAGAAGTTACTTGAGCACATGTGCCGGGTTATTACAGCAGTTAACATAACTGATACAGATACGAGGTGATTGATGGTGGGTGGCACATAGGGCATGAAAATACTGGAGAAAGGGAGGATTCACATTTGGGGCTATAAGATGCAGGGTGGTGAGAAATTTCACCACTCAGAATGGATTGTACCATGAAATATTAATTGTGTATTTCTAAGTACTTTCCAGTTAATATTTTTGGATCACAGTTGACTATAGCTAACTGAAATCTACAGAAAGTGAGATTACAGATAAGGGAGGCATGACTGTAATTATTAAAAAAGGGAGAGAGGGGCTTTCGAACGAAGTGATTGGACCGATAGCCCATGAACAACGATCTGTACCACCCATCTTGAAACAAACTGTTACGCAATATTCTTATCAAAAACACTGACTAGACTGTGGAGCAGTCTACAAGACAAGTGGCCAGGATCACCCAAAACTGCTATTGATATAAAGAATTCAGAGAAAATGAAAGAGAGAGATATAGAAGACAGGAGGCCTGTTTGGAACTAAAGAGACCTGACAACCCAACGCAGTGAATGATCCTTGGCTGGTGTACGAACTGAAGAGAACAGAAGACTGCATATTAGCTTGCTACTAAGTGATATTACTTTTCTAGAGCATGACACAGTGTTGTGGTCTTGCAGACAGTAACATTTCTGTTCCCACAGGACACATAATGAATGCCTGCTACTTTATTTGAGGTCATTAAAAGTGAGTGAATGCACAAATGCCAGAAGAAAATCAAAAAGAAAGCATAGAAAAAAACATGCCTACAACTCATGGGAAAGCAACACAATTCTTTTCAAAGCTCGTTATTTAAAGTTGAACTATATTTTTAAAATTAAAAATTCTGTCAATGAGAAACATTTTTGCTCGGTTCTAACCCTGTTGATTTGGCAACAAGGGTTACTAAAATTCAAATAAACAGAGAATGTTTACATGTAAGTTGACCTGTTCGGTTTGTAATTTTCACAGGAGAAAGGAACTTCATTTTTGGTACTGACACTTCAAGGGATGCAAGTAATTTTAGCGACCTCAGAGGACTGTGAACTACAATACAGAAATAAGAATATGAACTTTCTTGAATATTCAAGGGCAAGTAAATGTGGTAAAATAAAGAAATAAACTGAATATTTGAAGTTCTTTCCCTTTATTACAGTTAAGTCCCTAGAAGTATAGGTTTTTTGCAAGCAAACAAAACAATTTAAAAAGTCTTTTTTTTTTTTTTTAAATTCAGGGCTATTTGAAAAATAACAGCAAGAACAATTTCTAGAAACCTTTAAGACACACTGAAAACATTCCACTGTTTTCATAAGACAGACTTTCCTTTTTCTCCCAACCCCAGGTTTATTCTGGACTTAATACTCACTGTGTAGCTATGGATATTAATCTATAAAGCTTACTGTGCTGAACTGTCCAAAGGGGGAAGTGTTATCCAGCACATCAGCAAGGGAACACACAGTTCCTTCTGCTATAGACGTGCCAGATAAGCACGCCCTCTCCGGAACGCTCGTCAGCAAGTACCTGAGACATAACAGAAAAACGAGGAGACGTTTAGAATTTCATCAATGACATGCTGAAGACTTCAGCTCTCATAACTAAATTAATTGATCCCCCAAATGAGAAGTTAGGATAGGAAGCCCTATTCACTAATCCTCCATGTATATTATGTAATATTATGTTGTTCTCTTCATTAGAAGATAGATTAAGTTACTGCCTAACAGGAGAGTTTTCCAGAAAAACGACAAGAACATTGTAACTGGCTACTTTGGGAGATGCACTGAAAATGACAGCAACATCCTTTTCCAAAAATCACTGACATGTGGGATGGCTGATCCCATCTAAGCTTTCCAGTTTCCTAGAATTAGAATACAGAAGAAAGACAGAACACACACGGGAGGAGGAACACTTAGGACTCAGAATGGAACGCAATGTAAGTTTACAAGTATTTGTATAAGGATGAACTGGAAAGCCCTCAAGTAAATCTCAACCCCAGACCGCTCTCAAATATTGAAGTTCTGTTACAAAGGAGTCCCCGAGAAGTTCTCTATTTGTAGACAGGACACAGATAATATAAAAGATAAATCCATATGCAGAGGAAACAAGATCCTATAAGATAATATAACCACATAAAACCGTGTTTATTCAATTGCCTGCTCCAGGAAATTTCTTTGCCTCACACCAGAGTGGGGGATGGGAAGATAAAGAACAATACTGATGTACATACTCACACTTAATTTTTTTACTTTTGTAAAGAAACTCAGGCTGGCTGTTGGGTGTCGTGGTTAGAGTCCCTGATCGGGATGTTTCTGTCTCATTTTGGAGTGTCTGGTTTGAGTTCCGGCAACTCCAGTTCTGATCCAGCTTCTTGTTATTGTGCAGGTTGAGAGGAAACAGATGTTAGATCCCTGCTACCCATGTGGGAGAACCAGGTGGAGTTCCAGCCTCTTAGCTCTGGCCTGGCCCACCTGGCCATTTTGGGCTTTGGGGAGGTGAACCAGTGGATCGAAGATCTCTTTCTGCCTCTCAATGTTTCTCAAATAAAATAAAAATAATTTAAAAAAACACAAGATATTTAATAAATGCCAAGACACACATGAAAAGCTACTCAACATATTAATGAATAGGAAGATGCAAAGTAAAACAACCATGCGCTATTACTTCACACCCAGTAGGATGACTATCACCGAAAAAATGGAGAAATAATAAGTTTTGTTAAGAAAACAGACCATTAGGATGTAAAGTGGTGTAGACTTTGCAGGAAATAGTGTGGTAGTTCCTCAAAATGCTCATGACCCAACTGCTCCACTCCGAGGTACATGTTCTAGAGAACTGACGGCAGGGACTGAAACAGACGGTGCTTGTTCACCAGCGTTCACAGCAGCATTTCACAACAGCCAGCTGGGGAAACCACCAAGTGTCCATCACCAGATGACTGCACAGCCATCTGTGCATAAGCACGTAAGTACACCAGGGTTGGTTGTCTTTTAAGACAAGTTTTTTTCATATGAAAAATGTTGAAATTCATGCATTTTTTTCTGCATAATTTGCATTTTCCACAAACTTCGTAAAGACCCCTCATATCATCAAGCCATAAAAAGGAATGAAATTATGCTACATGCTCTAATGTTGATAAATCTTGAAAACATTATCCTAAAAGTTAAATAAGTCAGACATTAAAGAATAAATGCTGTGTGATTCTAAAATGTTGACCTTTTAGAATAGGCAAATTCACAGAGACAGAAAGTGGAAGAGAGGTTACCAGGGGCTGAAGGGACAGCAGCCAAGGGAAGCTGTTGTTTAATGGTACAGAGTGTCTGTTAGGAATGACAAGTTCTGGATGTAATGGTGATAGTTACACATTAGGAATGTACTCAATGCCACTAAACTGTACACTTAAAATGGCATATTTAGGGTCTGGCGCAGTGGCCTAGAGGCTAAAGTCCTCACCTTGAATGTGCCAGGATCCCATATGGGCTCTGGTTCTAATCCCGGCAACTCCACTTCCCATCCAGCTTCCTGCCTGTGGCCTGGAAAGCAATCAAGGACAGCCCAAAGCCTTGGGACCCTACACCCGCTTGGGAGACCTGGAGGAGGTTCCTGGCTCCTGGCTTCAGATCGGCACAGCACCGGCTGTTGCAGTCACTTGGGGAGTGAATCATCAGACAAAAGATCTTCCTCTCTGTCTCTCTTCCTTTCAAATATCTGACTTTGTAATGAGAATAAAATAAATCTTTAAAAAATGGCATATTTAATACTGTGCATGTCTTATCATAGTTAGGAAAATAAACAATCCTATAGCTAGAAAATACAGAAATGAAGAGTCAGTCAGACTCAACTTCTCTCCCATCTTAATCCTGCCCACCTTCCTCTCCCCTCATTGAATCTCAAAGTTCCAAGTCAAGCCTCTGGTTCTGATGGCATCAGTTTTTCCTGGACCAAAGCTCAGAAAGACAGAAAGAAAAGAAAATCCCAAATAGAATTACCACCCTTGAGCTACAGATTCTTTTCTCCCTTATTGTGTATCTTGAACACATAAAATATTTGGGTAACTCAGTTTTATTCTCAATACCAGTAACTATAAAGTAGTCACGCACCAACCTGGCTTTGTCTATGAACTGCTTAGTTGAATAGGTTGCTTTTTTTTTTTAAGGAGGTAAGGCATTATACTAGTACTGACACAAAAAGTCTAGAAAATATCAGCCTATCCAAATATTAATGTTATATAATTAAAAAAATGAATCTGAATACAGCTTTCCCCTCCCCCAACATGGTGTTGGCCTAATTTGGATTCAAAAAGGTTGAAAGATAGTGCTAAGTCATCAACTTTCTCCCAAATGACACTGGAATGACAACAAAACATAGAAAGGGTGTGTGTGTGTGTGTGATGGAACTAGAACCTTGCGGGGATTCTTGGAAGCTAGAAAGCAGATGGGATCACACTGATGAGAACAAGGCAAAGTCAACTGTCTTCAAACAGAAAAACAGCTCTTCCCGAGAGAGCCTTGAGAAGCCCGAGAGCGGCCAAGGAAGCTTAAAAAACCGTGTCTGGGGAAAAGAGCAGTTACGCCAGGTGTGCTTCTCTCTATCCAGAAAGGGCACAGGTGGCTGGGCTCGCGTCCTCTCTGGAAGACACAAGAATGTGGATCAATCACAAAGCCACATGGAGAGCTTGTTCTCTCCTTAAATCCCCAGGGGCTGACATACTGACCCTTAGCCACTGAACCCGAGTCTTTGTGAATCTGTTGGAATTTTCTACGGTTATCTATTTTGCCTTCAACATCCCCATGCTCTACTTCCAAAGTCTTATTAGATGGTTTCCGTATGTTTTGAGTTTATTCTTCAGATTTCCTGAACACTTTTCCAAACCTGGGCTAACTATCAGAATCACCTGGGCAGCTTTAAAGAAGCTGGTGAAGCTGATGCTGGATGCTCAATTCTGTGAACCTGTACCAAAATGGCTTGCAGTGGAGCCAGGGCATCTGTGTGCTTAAAAGGCACACAGGGCAATTCTAATGTCCAGCTAGATGTGGTCTTGAGAACCCCTGGGCTTTTCTCCTATGTTCCACTCTCAGCTCTCTAGTCTATATTCCAGAAGAGATTCAATCAAATTCTTAAATAATCTGATAACCAGCTGTGTTCAAAATATTATTTAGTATGTTCAGGGATTTTACAAAACTTGGGGGAATAGACTTAACCACTATCTACCACTCTGGCATCCCATTTGGGCACTAGGTCACGTCCCTGCTTCTCCACTTCCAATCCAGTTCTCTGCTGATGGCCTGGGAAAAGCAGCAAAAGATGGCCCAACTATTTGGACCCCTGCTGCCCATATGGGAGACTGGATAGAGCTCCTGGCCCTTTGCAGCCATGAGAGTAGTGAACCAGCAGATGGAAGATCTCTCTCTCTCCCTCTGTCTATATAACTTAGTTTTCAAATAAATAAATACATAAATAAATCTTTAACAAATCTTGGTAATGCTGTTTCTTATTTCTATATACTTTTATTATCTGCACATTTTTCTCAGTATTGCGTTTGTGGATGCAGCTACCTCTCAAATTTGGAGACAAAATTTAGAGTAAGATGGGATGCTTCCTAGGAACAAGGTAGATTTACAGAGGAGAGACAAAAACATCTTTCATCTTCTGGTTCACTCCCCAAGTGGCCTCAAGGGCTGGAGGTGAGCTGTTCTGAAGCCAGGGGCCAGAACCTTCCTCTGGTCTCCCACGTGGGTGCAGGGTTCCAAGGATATCCTCCACTGCTCTCTCAGGCCATAAACAGGGAGCTGGATGGGAAACACAGTAGCTGGTGCCCATATGGGATCCTGGAGCTTGCAGGGGGAGTATTAACCAACTGAGCTACTGTGCTGTACCCTGGTTAAAAAAAAAAAAGTTAGAAGCAAGAGCAAGGTAGCAGAAAAGCTAACTAATGACAGAAATATAAAGATAAAAGAATAACAGAAGCGTGAAACTTGTGCTAGGGGATGTAAGAGGCAAAAAATGAGATGCTATGGGTGAAATCAAAGTGCACAGCAAAGAATTAAAAGAAAGAACTAAAGATAAGGTTAGGCATAGAAGAATGAGTTATGGGGAAGTGGAAGGGTGATTCAAGCGTAGAAGGGGCACAGCCCAGATCTATTCATTTACAAGCTGATGAAGTCATCGTCAGTATCTGCTAATTAAGCCATTGTATGACTAAACAAAATACTTCAGTTTTTCTTCAACAGGGTAGTCATCAGAATGCTAAATAAAATTTGGCAAATATATACTATGAAAATGTTAGCCTGTTTCTGAAATGGATCAGATAGACCTATATGATAGGTCTCTTTAGCTAAGAGTCTACATACTAACAATACCAAAATAGGTGAATTGGGAAAGAATTTTATAAATGTCCATCTATCTAAAAAGAAAACTATTATAATACATAAAGTTTACTATTAGGGTGTACCAATGATAACTCTGCCACTAAACCTTTAAAAAAAAAATTCAGGAGTGAACATCTGACCTGGTGGTTAAGATGCTGGCTAGGAACCTAGCAACAATTCACGTAGGATTACTGGATTTAATTCCTGACTTTTGATTCCACATTCCTACTATTGCAGACCCTGGGAGGCAACAGTGGTGGCTCAAATAAATGAGTTTCTGCGATCCACATGGGAAACCTGGACTGAGTTCCCAGCTCTTGACTTTGGCCTAACCTGTCCCTGATCATCACAGCATTTGAGGAGTGAACCAGCAGACAGGAGTTCTGTTTACTTACCCTCAGATAAAATAAACAAACAAATAAAAATAAAGCAGAAAGCAGAGAATGACCTTTTAAAATTTGTAAAACAGACAAAACATGTCACGGTCCCACTTGTCAGGAATTTTTGCCATTCTCCAATTTAATTGAAACATTTGGACTGCCTTCCTTACAGAGAGCAAGAACACTGGCTGCAGCAAGCCAGAGGTATTTGTGAGCTCTTCAGAAGGCAATCACGGGCAGGGCCTGAACTTAGGAGAGTTGTGTGGGTTCCAGTTACATGAGGGAAGCCACGGGATTCTAGGTCGCAATTAAAACAAAAAGATTGCTGCAATTACGCCTAAGCAAGTAACACGGTGGCTCTCCAACTTCTAATGCCCAAGTCTCACTTCTGATCAGCAGTACTTTTGGCAGCACAAACAGTTCTGAAAACTCAAAATCATCAAAGAAATCAGCAATGTGCTGTGATGGATTAAGAAGATCTCTAGCACTTGGCATCTGAAGTGGCTGCACTGTTTGTTTTGCTGTCCTTCAATACCACACTATTCTTGAAATGAAACCCTTTGCTGTACTTTGATCTCCCAAGGCAAGCATCTGAATCAGTCTCTGGTATTTTTTTGATGCACTGCCTCTTCACAAGCAGTATCCAGGTC